ATGATTGATGATTGTTTTTGTTTCTTAACAAATTAGTATAAGATAAAATTCTAACATTTGATTTAAAGGTAAATACCTACTTTTTTCACGATATCAAAGTCACAGTCAAAACACAACATAGAATTCTGGGGATCAAAAAACACTTTCCGGGATGTCAAAATAGACAAGGTGTTCAAATTATAAAATAGTTATAAAAACTAAAATAAAAAATTAGCACTCATATTACTATTCCAATAAATTTACAGCATTAATTTACTGAATCGCTTATTTTAAGTGGTAACAGCTGAAATGCCCTTAAACTGCACGGTCTGTTCTCGGGTAGCAAACACAATCAAGATAGAAGACGTGTTGTCCGCTATCTTTAGTTCACTTTCCAAATAGATCGTGCAATAATCACTATTCTAAAAAAAGCTATATATTAAAAGAAATCCTATCTTTCCCTAAAATTTCACTCCTTGTCGACTTCAAAAAAGGATTTTTTAATTCAATTTTGATTCTTTTTACTGCCATATGAACTTGGAGAAAAAATCCAACCCTAAAGGTGGAAAATAGGGGATGAAGTTTTTAATGTAACTATTTACACAACATTCTAGTTATCTTGAGGTTGTGATATTTCTTTGTCAACTCAAATGGCTCAAAAAGCTTTTAATAGAATAAATAATTTCCACATAATACCTTCTGCTTTACCTAGGCTTTAATTCATGAAAACACTATCTTTTAGCACCGACTTCAGAAACTTTAATATTTATTAAAACTTTAAATTTGTATTATATACAGAAAAAAATCTTACATGAGATAGTAATAAAATTAGGTAAAAGCATTAATGTGGGTAACGTTCTGTCCTCCTAGCTAGATCATAAAATAGCCTATATTAAGGAGATTCAGTCCCTTACTATTTATTTATAGTTGTTTGTAGTCGGCTTTTACTTTTTATTAAAAATTTAATTTTACCTACGGCATTATTGCTTCTTTATAAAAGTAGTGTTTAGTGTGTCAAACAGCCCATAAACATGTAACACTAATAAAAAAAGGCAAAATGCAAGTGTGTTGTCACACCTAAGGACTACGATGGAATACTCCTTCTAACATTACAATAGTTAGCCTATTAGTCCTGTCCTGAAAGTCAGTTCTTTCTCGCCTTGAAAATAAGGTACCTATGAGATAACCGAATAATGTTTTTATAAAAATACCATGTAATACAGCAAGTAGTGACAAAACAGTAACTATCTCTCCCTCTGTACCAGGGCCTTAAGGGCATGTTACGGCCTCTTTTAAATGAGAAATGCACACGATACCAGCTAGGGAGTGGGCGACGTTCGAGTGCAGTGAAATTTTTGAACAAACATTTTTGTGTCTATCAAGCACTGCATAATATATATCTAAATATTATGCTACCTTTTAGAAACCGTTACCGTTTCGACATCTGACCTGTTCCAACAAACGGACGGTACTTGTGTCTTATGCCACTTTACTTTCTACCTTTGATTTCAAGATAGTTTCAAATGTTTCGATAAAATATACCTATGTAATTAGTTAAATAAATATAAACTTTATATTATACAATAGTTGGTGCTTCTACGGGTATCTTACCGATATGATACGTTGAAATAATGGTTCATTGCCAAGCTAAGATTAGATGTGTCTTTTTTTATTTTATTTTATAAATCTCATATGAGAAACGAACTTACAGTACACTTGAAGGAAGTGGCTACTGCGGTCCAGGGACACATGCAGTCAACTTCAAACTCGAGTAACTCATAACCGTAATTATACTGGTTCTCTACACCTTTCACACCGGAAGATAGCAGTGGAGGCACTGCTATGTTCCGATACCTAGAGGGCCCTATAGTAATAAAGTTAGTTGACAACAGGTCAACTAATTCTATTTTTATAGGCCAAAAAGTTTAGTGCCAAAATGTATTTTTTATAGAATAAAGGTGACAAGCACACAGCCCACCAGATGGAAAGTGTATGCTGTAGCGTATAAACATCTACATGTATCCTCAATTAAGAATCAAAATGCAGATGTGTTGTCACACCTGAGGACTGAGATGGAATGCCTCGTATCCAGTAAAAAGTATCTCCTGTTCTCTACATTCACCATACAAAACACAGCATCATTGAGCAGCTATTTTACGCTGGTATTCTGTGAGTCCATGGTCCTACGCTGATCGAGGCGACACATTCGTGCCGCAAACATAATATGGCTGCAAACTGGCTCTACCACGTATATTAGTCAACCAATCTATTCATAAGATTGTACTAATATTGTGAACAGAGGCCACAATCATGACGATAACAATACCCTACAATTGGTTATTATAAACTGATCACGACAGCATGGCGCCAGGAATAGATTATAACCCTGTTAAAAAATTAGCGTATTTCATTCTCATCGAGATCAGCATCGAGATATTTTAAGTTATTTAAGTTTATTTAAGTTTATGCGATTGCATATAAATAATAGATTAAAGTGTCTATCTGTAATATCGAAATAACTAAGACACACGAATAACTATTTTTGTCTGTCTGTCCAGGCTAGTCTTCGGAATGGCTGAACCGACTGTAAACAAGCTTGACTAACACATTTAAAGTAAAACCAGAAGTGATCTAGTGTATATTTAATCCGGAAAACTTGGAGATTTATTTTTTTGAGAAATCGTAAAAAGTATAAAATAAAATTTCTTTAATGATTATCTTAAATATAAATGTCGCCACATTAATATTTTCAGGCGAAGCCGGGGCGGGTCGCTAGTACACAATAAATTTGTAAGTATAATTAGTACGGCCCCCTACTAAATAGAATGACGTTCTAATGTCATGCAAGAACTCGATGGATGCAGGTTGCTCAGGACCGTGTTTTGTGGCATTCCTTGGGGGATCGGCCTCGAGGCCTATGTTTAGCAGTGGACGTGTGCAGAGCTGCAATGACGATTATTTTATAGAAGAGGGGACAAACGAGAAAGCGGCTCACCTGATGGTAACCGACTATCGCCGCCTATGAACAACTGCAACACCAAGGGAATCGCAGGTGCGTTGATTGCCTTTTATAAGGAGTTAGCTCTTTTCCTAAAGATTCGTTGGTTATATTGATCTTGAAAAATAATTAGTGGTATGGGCTACCACAAAGAAGTTGTGCGAGGAAGAAAAGTTCCGATATCTTGCAGTGGTAGACCGCCTATCATCCAGATGGTGTGGATGATATCACGAATTATGTGACGATGTGCGGTGGTGAAATATGACGGCTGGAATTAGTCCGAAAAACATCCTATGAGCACTCAGACTCAGATGATGATGAAGAAGTAAAATTTATGAAGACCTAACGAAATAAAACGCAATTATCTATAAATCCCATTTAGCATTAGTAGTAACATATTACATCCCGCCGCGGTAAGCAGACGTCCGTCCACAATGTTACTAAAATAGTCGCAGCACGAGCCGCATCGTTCGACTCCAATCCCTTTTATAGATGCACAGTTACATTCTGGACATTCCTGGATCGAATTCGTCGCTGTTCTGATGTATTAATTGGTATACATATAATATAATAATAAATAGCTATTCAATATTATCTATATTCGTAGATTCTAAATGGACCGCCGATGTACACTTATGTGTAATAATTAATATAGTTCAGTGTAAAATATAGATGATAAGATGAGTATTTTTTATTTTATGATAGAGCGCAAATCTATATTAAAAAGCAAGAAAATTATATGCCATTTGGCAGATGGTAAAATTAAAAAAAAAAAATATTTGAACCGAACCTAAAAGTTCACAGAAAGTTTCAGACCTAATCAGCAAATGAAGAGTATAAGTTTAAGGTAGGGACGGACCTAAGCAAATGAGGAGATAACAAATAATGGCGTAATGTTAACATTTTAAAATGCACAGTACATGCGACTATATAGTGTGCCATTTTCAAAAAATGCATGTGAGAAGCCCTGCTAGCTGTGGACGACTAAAGTGTGGATACGACTAAAATCAAGCTTAACATATAACAAGAGTATCAAAGTTCAGAGTGTCGATCTGCGGAAGACGACGATGGTCCATTTTCGACCACGGAACCACTTTCAAGCATTCAGAAGCTGTTAACTGCGCAGAAAATATTGTTGCAATATAATAAAAGTGCGTTGTAACACCTCAGGACTAAGGTAAGGCTTTACTATATCTCTTTATATAAAAATCAATTGCTGTCCGTTAGTCTCGCTAAAACTCGAAAACAGCTTGAACGATTTTGATGAAATTTTTTGTGTGTTTGAATGTGTCATGGATGGTTTAGATTCACAATTGGACCCGGTAGGTGGCGCTGCTGTCGAGAACCAGAAATCACCCGTGCGAAGCCGGGGCGGCTAGATATTAATAATTATTAAAATGTATTTACTAGGTGGTAGGGCACATTTTTGTTTAGGGACTTGTAGTGGAAAGCACTACCACTAGCATCCACTTCTTTTCATGTATAAAAAGTATCGACAGCCAGTAAAATTACAGGCTGGGAAGTATTCCATGTAAAGAATATTCAATAGAAAACTTGTACGTGGTAGAGCCAAGCTGCAGCTATATTATTAGTATAGTTGTAGCACGAATGGGTCGGCTCGACCGGGGAAGGACCACGCTCTCACAGAATAGCAGCGTAAAATGGCAGCTTGACACTGCTGTGTTTCGTATGATGAGTGTAGAGAACCGGAGACCCATTTTACTGTAAAAGAGGCATTCCATCTTAGTCCTCACGGGTGACGACGCATCTGCATTTTGATTCTTTATTGAGGATAAATGTAGATGTCTATGGGCCACAGCAACCACTTACCATCAGGTGGACTGTGTGCTCGTTTGTCACCCTATCCTATGAAATAAAATATCTATATATAGCTATTGTCTTTGTTAGACGTATTTTGTAACCTACAGTAGTATCTTCAGGTCAGGTCGCTTATTCTATAAAGTTCTCTTTAGTCTAAAGCTTCAGTAGTGTGTTATATAGAACGCGCGCTATATAGAATTGCAGTGTACCTTCTGGTAGCCGTTCGAGTTGCATTGAGAACTGTCGTGACGCCGTACGTTCATTCTATCCATACCAATTAGTAATGCTTTCTGTTAACTAATTTTAACTTTCTATTATATTATATTTAACTTACTATTTCTATCCCAGCGGTAGTCAAGACGAAACTACAGAAGAAATGTAATTACGATGAAATAGCCAAAAAAATTGCAGTGACCATAACCAATGGTAAGTAGTAGATTGACTATATTTATCATAGGTTAAATTATCTTAGATAAAAAGGATTTTATCTTCTTAGTAATTAGATTCGTTTTGTTTTTAGTTCCGGAATTAAAACCAAAATTGACAACCCTGATTTACAACGCGTCTGCATTTTAATTCTTAATCGAGAATAGATGCCTACGGCTCAAAGCCACTTACCCTCTACATAGGTTGTTTAAAAGGTTTTAATTGTTGAAAAGTAACATTTTGCCATGACGAAAATAGTGCACCAGAGATTACTCGTATAAATTGACTCACACACACAGTGAAAACATCTTATCATAATCTCGGCTATGTTGATTGAACTGAAGTTGAAGTTAACTGTTATGCAATGAATGAGGCACACATTACAAAATTAAACTTAGTGTCAAACATGATCGTAACGTGTAACCTAAATGTATTTTTTATTGTTATATTTATTTAAGGACTTGTGAACTTATTGTAAATTTAAATGTGTAATCGCAACACAACTAAATACTTTTTAATACGGATACTACATGATGGAAAATTTAGGTTTTAGAGAGACAGCCAAGTACCGCCAAGCAGAGTGTTAGGACCCCCATTATGGAATGACGACTTGGTAAGACGATGGATGTAAATGGTTCAAGACTGCGCTTTTCGGCATAACTAGTATGAGGCCTAAGTTAAGCAGTGAATTGTCAATTTAAAAACACAATCCCAATTATTATCACATTTTTATAAAAGCATTATCACAGTCCTAATTTTTTTTTGCAGTCAAATTTTCTATTTTCATCATGTTACTATTAAGTTTTGTTAATGAAAGAGCAAACATTTTAAATTCTAACCAAGCTTATGTTCAATTTTTAATCATAAATTCTATAAAAATATAAATCAACCCTGTAAACTGTGCTTAAACATGTTGGCTGCGTTTTAAAGTTAACTGACAGTTAAATAATAACATAAAATGTGTATAATTCTAGTAACATATTAATTTTAATAACTAAGAGATGATATAATGCTTTCCTTAGCGAAATAATCAATAGATCTTGTCAGAACTCCAATTGAACAATCAATAACCGTTGACAACATTGACAACTAAATAAGTTGTCAATTCCAATAGAAATATAAATTACTAAAACTGATATTGCACCGTTTACACAACTCACATCAATATCAAAACTAGTCACTTAACACCAGAAACGTACAAGAAAATATTTCAATTAAATGTCAAAACAAAAAAAACACAGTTCTTTTCCGCTAATTTCAAACTAGGTGCGCAAAGCGACATGCGCGTGCGCAGTTCCCGCCGTTCGGATTTCAACTGTATAGGTACCAAAACATAACGTAAAACATTATTTAAGTTTTGCGTTCACCGTCTCCGTAAAAGAATATTATTAAAGTCACAGCTTAGATAAATTATGTGACTGATTCGCAATACATTACGAATTACGATTAGTTATCGAACATAGTATTAACACTTTACATTTCAAGTTCCATAAAACAATAGGAGTGTGACAAGAATCTCAAAGTTGAATATGATTAAATTGCCGTGTTAGAGGATGGCATTAGCAACTCATTTTCAAACTAATTCACCAATGGTCGCTTTGACAACCGCCAACTGGTATATCAGTCGGAATCATAATTTTTCAGAAGCTATTATGTCGAAATAATTTTATTACTTTTAGTTTTAAAGTCGACTTATACATTTTATTTAAAGTATTTTTTTATGCTTTTGAGTGGCTTAAATCATATTACAAGGTCATAGTAACATCTAGAATTTTATCTCAATAGTTACATTACAAAATCGTTTCAGCAGTCTCCGAGAAATTGATGAACATACACATAAAGACGCATCGAATTGAGAACCTTCTAGTTTTTTGGTTTCGGTGAAAACTGATTATAAATGAATATACTTTTATATCGCAAGAAAATTTACTGTTAACAGTGTTGTCATATTTTTCTCAGTAAACTTACGTAGGCAAAACCGGTGGCAGTCGCATCCAGTTAAGAGGTGCGTGCGTCGTTAACGTCTAACCTTTAAGTCTGCACTAGATATTTCGACACGGTAAAATAAAATCAATTTCGACTAACTTGAAGACACATCATTCAGTGTTTTGGTAAAGGATTCCGTCGCATTGATTACTGTTATAAATTTTAATGAATAGAAACGTAACAACTAGTTACTAAATGCGCCAACTTTTAAATATACTTGCCAAACTCGTGTAGAAACTTTTTTCAGTACAGTCATTTAAAACTAGGCAAAGTATTAATATTGAATACTTACTACTACTAACACACATAAAAAAACATACATTCGAATTGAGTGCCTCCTCCTGTTTGAAGTCGGTAGAAAATACTAGCAATATTGCTAAAATTATCGTTAACCAAGCCAATAATCACTGCAGCAGCGCAGTGGACCAATTGCTTCATAACCCTCCCAGAAATGAGAGGAGACCTGTGCTCAACCATTATCGTTACCGTTACAGTCTACTGAAGTCCACTGCTGAACATAGGCCTTCCCCAAATAATGCCAAAATGGGATATTTAGTCGTTATTAGGAAGACGCTGCTGCCCATCGCCTGATTTGTTTTCCCCTGTCGCCTTTTACGACACCACGGGATGATATGGGTAGTGGATACTCTTACATCGCCACTACACGACTCATAGCGCGTATATAATAACTTTACTTTTATTCTACTAATAACTCTGTAAGGCTATAGTGGAGTATCCTCTCATACAACATTAAAATGTAGTTTTGTAATACTCATCATAAAAAAACTGCTAATGCCTCAAGGATTACAGGCGTGGAAATGTCTACGCAAAACAAGGTATGATTTTGACGAAATTTCTAACACTCTTTCACAAGGAAATGTGTTATCTTATCTTTTTAAGCATACATTCAAATCTAGCGGTTTTTACCACACCTGCAGTCCTAATATGTATATACATTATACAAGCTTACACAAACATAAGGTATTTCATTAGATAGGTACATGGTTACTCATCTGGTCGTTGAATAAATAGTAAATTTTGTAAACTTTTACAAACGAATCAAAATACATACAACCTGTACTGTGCTATTTAGCCGCTACGTGGTCCAGGGGCTTAGCATTGAGTTGCTGCCCTGGCGGCCGCGGGTTCGAATCCCGCACGGAACAAGTATTTGTATAGCCTTCAAATAATTGTTCCGGGTCTGGATGTTTGTCCTTGTGCAATTTACGTCTGTAAACTGCCTCTACGATACAGGAGAAAATCCTAGTATGGGGGTAACGTTTTAAAAAAAAAGTACCTATAGTAGTAGGTAGCATTACGCCTCATAGCCAATTTACATTATCTACGTGTAGCAGTCGAATGTTCGTCACTCGAAACAAAAAAGAAACAGAAAAATTAAAAAAATAGTGAGCTGTGATGATTCTAGTGAGAATGATAGGAATTATTATTATATACACTTATTAGTTAGAATACCAGCGTAAAATAGCAGCTTAACGCTGCTGTGTTTCGTACGGTGAGTGTAGGGAACCGGAGACCCTTTTTACTGGACAAGAGGCATTCCATCTTAGCCCTCACGGATGACAACGCATCTGCATTTTGATTCTTTATTGAGGATAGATGTAGATGTATATGGGTCACAGCAACCACTTACCATCAGGTGGACTGTGTGCTCGTTTGTCACCCTATCCTATAAATAAAAGTCATCAGTACGTAATACGGCTGCAAAATTTCCATTGCCTTCATACAAAGAAGGTAAAGCTAATACAAAGCGAGTAACAAAAAAATTCTATTAGAGAATCCTGAGACCTGATTTGACGATGCCACGTGTGGAGGAGGTGGTGTGTCTTTCCTATTGTGGTTGTGTTGTAAGAAATGATGCTGGGATTAGTGGTGACGGAGATAGTGCACGCAGTTGAGGGAGCGCGGAAGGTGCTCTTCAAACTAGGTAAGACACAACATTTTATTTCATGGAACAAATATAGGCAAGGTAATGTTTAACCGCTTTAATATAATAGATGTCCGGAAAGTAACGCCTGATTCTATTAATTATCATAGATGTCGTAAAAATTAACCCAAGTAAAAGCTTTAAATCTAGACCCTCGCTTTTCAGGTATGAAAAGTCGGTTGTTACAATTGTGAATGCGATTAATAAACGTTGTAATAACGGCACATACTACCGAATTTTGAGAGACCTTTGCAGAACTTAATTTTTTCTTCATAATCAGATCGTAAGTCTACTAATGAACATGGACCTCTCCTGCTGCAGCGATGATTTACTATAACCATCACGCACGGTGAAAGGATAGAATCGCAACATCAGACGTCACGAACCCTTGATGCCGCAGACGATCTAAGTATTTTACGCCTCTCGTGAACAAGATCGTTATAACGTCAAGAAATTTTTGTGTCATTTTACGCTTCACGTTAGCGCCATCTATTGAAAGCCATAGGATTAAATGGCATTTTTCAATGGCACCTCTTACCACAACCATGGTCCGAAATGGGGTCACGAAATTGAGTCACTTCATGAGTCATTCCATTTTATTTCTCAGGGATAAAATCACACCTAGATTTTGAGTCTCAACCAAGGATTGACGGTTTTGGTCAATAGTGGACTGTGTGCTCGTTTTTCACCATTATATTTATAAAAAAATATTTTTGCAATTCAAAAATAGACTGGTAAAGCCTGTACAACCATTCTTAGCAATTTCCGGCTCTAAGCAGCAGTGTTACATTCCGGTGTGAAAGATAACAAAGCCAATATGATTACGGAATGTAAAGCAGTTCATCATAGTCCACAGAATCTAATGTTGGCTGTCCATACACGGCAGTAGCCACTTGCCATCAGGGAGTTGGTAATACAAAAATAAAATGAAAAATAATTATATACTGAAAAAAGTCTTAAAACGCAAATCTGAAAACCAAGTTGTTCATACAAAATCTCGTCAGCTTTGATTGGAATCAGTGGCATAGCATGTGTTGCAAAAATGTCGCACTTAACACTTCATTTTCGT